GACGGGGTTAGAAAAAATAGAGGTGCAGGTGGTGAGACTAAAGAAACACCAGCCATCTGGACCACTCAGCCCTAAGCAGCTTTCTCCTAAAGACTTCTATCACTTTGGGAACCATGACTCCTTTGAACCCTCTACTCCTCTTAAACACAAGTAGGCGTGTCCACATGTGCACATTTGCCAAGTCCTGGGAGAGGAAGGGATCCTATCACTGACCACAGAAAACCTAAATGAATCTAAAACATCTGTCTTACTCAGCATGGCACTTCAGAGCAGCAATATTGAAAAAGAAAAGAGAAATCTACAGGGGATTGGGATAAGAGGGAAGAACTTATGTGATAATGTTTCTTTTATCTTCTATCAATAATCTCAGCTCTAGGCTAGGTGGATAAACAAGAGATAGTACAGAGATAGATAGATAGATAGATAGATAGATAGATAGATAGATGATACCCATACATATATGCACATTTGTACTTGTGTACACACATAAATATAAGAGAAAACAAGTGAATGGAAAAAAAGATAGATGATACAGGCATACATACACATATGTGTACTTGTGTATATACATAGATGTATGAGAAAACAAATGAATGGAAGAAAGATAGAAAACTAGTTAGATGATACAGGCATTTATACACATATATGTACTTGTGTATATAATAGACATATGGGAAAACAAGTGAATGGGATGGAAGATAAATAGACAGGTATCAAGCAGTCTTTTGTACAGAATATAATAGAAAGCTGTAATGGAAACATGAGTCCACTGTTTCAACACAATATCCTGTTAAACAACCCCAACTTGGAGAAAGTTTTGTAAGAAACATCTACAAAGAAGCAAGTCTCTCAAAAGGCAGTGGCCCTAACTTCTGACTACCTACAACCCTGTGTCCATGCCCGTCTGTTTCCCCTGGCTGCAATCTGTTTCCATATAGGCATTTTCCACCCCCCACTAAATGCAATGTCATGCAGAACACTCAAAGGGAAAGGGAAAGGGAAACGGATTAGTAGATGGATCGATGGCTGATATTAATGCTCTTTCATGTTGAGTTGAAGAAGGATTTGGGGTCATCAGGAGAGAAGGCAGCAGGAGAATAGACTAAGCATTCAAAAGACTGTCTGGATTAAAATCCTATTAAGTTCCCATCAGCTTCTCCAGGAGGCTTTTGAGGAGGTTGGGGTTTCTTTAACCTGTCACCATAATTAACCGTCCCTCAAGCTGTTTTGGGTGGGAAACTTTAGCAATTAAGAAACTGGGAAACTTTCATTTTCTATCACCCACACTGCTGTTTGAATGGTTTAGAGACTAGAGTGGAAAGTGGTTCAGCTTAACTGCTTTGAGGGGTTCAGGTCTCTCACTTGAACCTGCTGTCAGACTTGCCCCTGAGATCTGAGCCTCTCATTAAAAAGGGCATTTTGTCTGCAGAAAGAATCAAAGGTTCCAGTTGACTCCTCCTCGCTTTCTTCCCCTCATCATTCCCCTGGTGAAGCCGATAGGAAAGAGCAACTATGCAGAGCAGTGCTTGCTTCTTTCAGAAGCCCAGCTTCCGGGCCCTGGTGGCCAGCCTCTCCCTGCAGGTGTCACCTCAGCACCTGCCACGCCGCCAGAAGTTGTTTAATCACAGATACGTTCGGTCCAGGTGGAAACAGCCATTCAGAGTGATCCGCCATTCTAAGAAGTAAGGGTCACCAAACATTTCAAATAGTATGATTGTTTCTTCTTTGCTGTGTAAGATTGTCACCCTCATCCCTGCCACACACAGGCACACCCACATACACTTCAAACACCAGCATCCCGCCATCCTGAGTAGTAAGGTGAGCAGCCTCCTAAGGAATTAAGTTTGTGCCACTTTTGGTGTCTAAGAAGCTCGTCAGTGGTTGCAGAATAGCTCCGCAGAAAAACGTTAGCTTTTTTTTTTTTTTTTACCTCCTCACTGGTGGGCCCTAAGAGTTTAACAACATTCCCTCTTGTATGTTTACCTAAGTGTCTTGTCTCCTCAGCCAGACCTTGTTGACTTATTTTCTCTCCAGTTCCTAACATAGTGTGTGTCACAGATCAGTTGGTACTTAACATACTCTTGCCTGTGACCACACAGAATTTACTCTCTGCCTTAAGGCAAGTCACAGCCTCTATTTTCACAATGCAAAAATTACGAGTCTGTAGGGCTGTGTGCCGTCTGAGATCGCATTCCAACTCTTGGAATCTATAAGAAAAATATTCGTACAAGCTGAATTGTTGTAGCTCCTGTAGTGTTATTTTTGTAACAATGATAATAATGCAAGAATGTAAAGCGTTTATGAAGCTCCTAAACAACCTCTGCTCCATTTCCAATGCCTGATGATATAATTTCATTAGCCCCATAATGTTAGGGACTCTTGTTTCTTCCATTGGATGCAGCTGGAGGCTGACAATAAAGTTACACCAAGTGTGCCATGTCTTGGTTCAGGAAGCTGGGCTCTTAGCTACCTCTCTGTATCTGCTCCAAGAACTTCCTTCCAGCTCAGGCTGCAGTCTTCCAGCTGGCCCACATACATCTTTCTAGCTCTCCAAGGGGCACCTGCCTGCCTGCCTGCCTGCCTTCCTGCCTGCCTGCCTGCCTGTCAATTGCTTTGATTTCTGACTCCAGAGCCCAGCTGGCCCAGCCTCCACCTGCTCCACCCATAGGCAGAGCTTGCCCCAGGACCCAGCAGCCCCTTTGTCCTGAGGCCCTGAAGTTCCTGTTGGAAGCACATGGCCTGAAAAGCAGGAGAGGACAGACATCAGCCTGGGAGGCAAAACAAAGAGGCAAGACATCTGATGAGGAATCACAGGGTCCCTCCTGAGACCTTAGCCCATATGAGCGTTATGGGCAAGAGCAAGCCAGAGATGAGGCCAGAGTGATACCTATGAGAGTACAGGGGAGAGAAGATGTCCCTGGAAGTCTTGGAGCTGCCTTTCAGGTGATGTTTCTATTGCCTGTTCTACAAAGTGCATCTTGTCTTATTTAAGGCATCTCTGCCTCTCAAATAAAATTTTAAATTATTTTGCATTGGCATGTAAGAATTGTGCCAATTCTTAAAAATGCTCAAGGATATGGATTTGAGCCCAATGCCCAGAACAGAAAGATCAAGATAAAGGAAGTATATGGGAATTTGGTTTGGTATGATGTGATCTTTTCATGCACATGTAAATTATATAATGCTAAAATTGTAGTAGTCTACTTTTCCTCCTCAAACATTGGTCACCATTTTGTGGCCCAATGTTTAAAAAATGCTTCTTATATCTTTTATTTTATTTATAATTTAAGTTCATTTTGTCACTAAGAGTCATCCTTTTGTACATTAGAACAGGAGGGCTTTTTTTTATCTTATTGATGCTGAGCACCTGTGGACCAGTTCAGTAAAATTGTGTTCTTGCTCTAAAACAGTCAGGATTTGGGAAAGCTACTCTGAATTCTGCAGTAGAAAATGAGGCAATTGAAATGAAGTTCATCTCCCCAACCATCCTCACCTTTTCAAGATGAGTTGAAAACATGTTAACACAAAAACCTATACATGAATGTTTATGTTAGTTCAAAATAACCCCAAATTGGGGTCAACCAAGATGTCCTTAAAGTGGGTGAAGAGACAAACTGGGGTTAAGTTAATACAATGGGATATTACTTTAGAATAAAAATGAAATGACATATAAAGCCAAAAGTTAATGAAGCCCATCTAAAATGTTGCTTCTGGAAAGGCAAAACTACACTACCATAAATAAGAGAGAGAAGGTATGAAGGAGGGGTGGAGATGAAAGACAGTTTTAAGACACTGAAGCTGTTCTGTATGTCACTGTGGTGGCAGATAACAGAGCACCATGCATTGGTCAAACTCAATAAAACACTACAACACAAAGTAAGTTTTAAATGTAAATTCTAGACTTTCTAGTATAAATCACCACAGGCACATAAATTTTTAATAAATACACTGTACTAATGCAGATTGGTAAGTAGGAGAATGAAATACCTAAGAATTCTCTGTATATTTTGCTCACTTTTCTGCAAAATAAAGTCTATTAATGCAGTCCATCTGAATATACTTGCATCCTAAAAAGCAATCAATCGCTTTGCTTGTCCATGTTCTTTGTAGACTAAGCCTAAGTGTAACAACCCCATATTGCCATTGAGCCAGTCCCTACAATATACCAGACACTATGCTACGCAGCATTTGTGCCTAATCTCTTTTGTTCATGACAAAGGCACTAGGAAAACACAAAGAAGGGATTTCAAAGTCAGTAACTGAAGGAATGACTTGAACTCAAACTGATCCAACTCTAAGCCTATCATACTGTAATTCATAGGTAAGTGGAGAGCAGAATGCAGTAAGTTTTAATAATGCCTATATTAGTTGTTCACTCACCTATAGTCATTGCTATAGGCCATACATTATGCTAAACTCTGAGGACATAGATATAAGTAAAAAAAAAGACCATCTGTACACAAGAGTTTGCGATTTAGTGGAAGAAAGAGATAAACAGATAGAAGATGACAGTGAAAGCACCAGGATCTATGAACCAAATGATCCCTGATTCAGGTTTGGCATGCTATAAAAATTTGGGGAAAGCTCTTTGGATAGGGCAGAGAGTATCATAACCCAGGAAATTAAAAAATACATGAGAAATTGCATGTGGAATGAACTGGATTTACTCCCTGGCTCTATAGTGGCTAGGCATGGTAATCTAAGCACTTGGCAGGTAGAAACAGGAGGATCAGAAGTTTAAGAGCAACCTCACTTACTTAGTGAGTTTGGAACACTCTGGACTACACTGTATCTTGTCTTTCAACATATTCAATGGGAATAAGAAACAGCTGCATTGAGGATGGGCAAAGGAGCTAAAAACTGTGTCTACATTATACTAGGCTTTGATCTAGGTCCTTGACTTTTGTCCTCTCCCTTATCCTCTCCTTTCCGTTGCCATACATGGTACTGCTTTATGAAAATGGTTTGTATGGTTTAGGCCACATTCTTCAGACTCTCACCTGTGTTCTTCTCCTTGTCTCGAGAAAGCTCATGGACAGTGGCGCCAATGTCGTATCTCAAGCTCTTGATGATGCTGCCCAAAGCAGGCTTGCTACGTTTGTCCAGATGAGTGAAAAACTCATACTCATCTTTGTTTACACGAGAAGGTCTGGATTCAATGTGAGTCAGGTTGATGTCATTCTCCTAAGGAGACAATGATAGGTGTGAGTGGCTAGTTCTCATTACTACCAAAGACACAGAGCCAAAATATAACACAAGACAGCAAACAGTAGTTGAAGAGCAACAGTGTTTTTAAAGCACTAGTATAAGGAAGCCTTCACATTTACAGAGCTTTTTTAACTTCTACAAACCAAGCACTAACTAACAAGGGGTAGGAATGGTAAGTCACATGCCTTCAAATTTAATCATGTTGAAATCTAATAATAGCCTAGAGTTGCCTGCCTGAGAGTTGGGTTGAGATCAAATGTCTAAGATAGTAGTTGTAATGATATTTTGATGGGAAAGCCTCCCTTTGGCCAATGAAATTCCATAGGATTTCAATAAATAATAATGACACATTATTGTTTTGCTTGTATGGTCCTCAGGACACAGGCACTGTGTTTATAAGCTCTAAATTATAGCAGCTATGAAATGCTAGACAATTTACTTTCACACTTCTGTGTCCCTTAGATGTTCCATCTTCACATGGTGGTCTTAGTGATACCTTCTCTGTGAGCTCTTTGGGGGTCTTGGACAGGTTAACACATACATATACTCTGACAGATGCAACATAGTGTTCAGAACTACTATCAATATCATCAAATGCTCACTTAAGTCATTTGGTCATTGCATATAGATATATCATTTATATTATATATGAAAATACATGTAAT